TCTTGGTATTGATTTGAATATCAAGATCATGGTGAAAGCGCAGTTGGAAATTGATCACTGGATAGCCAGAAAAAAACTGAAACTTTTTCTGCCGTTCTCATTTTAACTTTATCTCCGAATGATTCCTAAATTTTTTTCAAACGGGCGTTTTTTACGAAAACCTTGATCCTCATGATCAAAATAATGTTCACCCAAATATGTTCAAAAAGGCTCAATATGAATGCATTTTAAAAGCTCACTTTTTTGCTATGGGGGATTACAGAGACCTATTTAAAAAAAAATCGTCTTCATTGTGACTTGTACAGAAGTAAGTTGGTAATTAAATATTTCCTATCAAATTAACACATTTATGTTTTGCTTATAACAGTGCACTACGTCAGTTTTCATACTTCCCAAGACATCGAACATCAGCTTCATCGCCTGATTATCTATTTTAGGGACAGGCAAGAAAAGGCATTCTCCATTATGGGAGCATTTCATCATGATAGATGAAGCAAGAGCCAAATGCAGACTGTGCAGTAACGTACTTAGTTACAGAACCTCCATTTCAAATTTGAAGAAACATTTGATAAAGAAACACCAACAACCGAGAAAGATACAGAGCCCTGCTGTCGTTTGGATCTGACGTGATGTAAAGTTTTTGCCTTTTCTAAGTGAATATACAGGGTGACTTTGAAGTTGAGTCATTAATTTTCAGATAATGATTGTAGAAGGAAGATAAACCAAAATATGTGTGTAAAAATAAAAAAAAATTAAAAAAAAATGTTTACCTTGTTTTATAAAGTATCCTCCCGACAAGTATTTCAGTGCGGACCTGTATTTGATCGTGAGGTCTTGGAGCACCGGCATGCAGTCCCCTGTGTGGTCTTAAGTCACCTGATTCACGAGCCCGTTGTACTACATTAACAAAGGCACGAGGGGTTGGTTGCACTCGATTGGGAAACCGATCCGCATAAACATGTGCCATTTTTTATTTCGTTTGAGCCACGCAACAGACACTACTATTCACTGACACTGACTGTATACAAATGAATAAAATAATTGTAAAAACATCGTTCCAAATTCTTTCGCTTTTTTGTTTCCGATGCGATGAACCGATACGGCGGATTATATCCGTTGTCGCCAAACACGAGCACATAATATTATTATTGAGACAGGGCGGTACTCAAACTTCCAAAGGGCTATAACTTTGTTACTTTAATTTTACCAGAAAAATGGTAAAGGAAAAAAACATTTCTTTTGATCAGGTCTACTCACTGTTAAAATAAATGACTCAACTTCGAAGTATATACGTATAGCAGTGAATAGGTATAGCTATAATATTTGGAAAACTAATATGTGTATCATGGAGGAGTATAGATTCAATCTGCCTGACGCCATTTTTTTGTAGGCACAATCTACTTCGACGTAGCGACGAAAAACCCGAAGATAGTACTCGACGACCACGACTATTTGATATAGAGAAAAGAAATCAACAAACCGTTTGGAAATGTTGTTATTACTTCAGAACTAGGGAGAAAAGGTGCAAATCCACTCTAGTGACCACAGGGAGGATCGTAACAGTCAGCAGTGACACTCACAACCATCCGGCTGTTCCGAAGAAGGACAAGTATAAGAACATGTTCTCGCAAAAGGTCACTATTATCAGAGAGTGAGAAGGAAACTTGCAGATAATTTTTGACGAACATTTTGTTGAATTACGTTGTTAATAAAGTGAATTCGACTAACCTACTGGTTACATGGACACTTGTTCGAGGTGTGAATGTGATGAGTAATCGTTTTTGAATTGAATACGTAGAGTCAACTCTGTATAGATTGACACGATAGATCACTAAAAAGTTGACGCTATGCAAATTTTGATATACTATAATAATTATTGGGTGGAATTCGCCTAAAACGTTTTCAAAATGGTGGCACTTCCATTGTACCCTGTATATTATTCAATTTTTGAATTCCTAAAAGATTTGTCAAGAGGACAACTTTTTAACCAAAAATTTTAAATCGAGTAAGTAATAGCTTGTTTACACGACCACATTAATTAAACTCCTTCAAGGTTAAAAAATTGTCTAATTTATTGGATCAGGTAAGCCAGAATTGATTTTTCTGGCCCTATACTGAGCTTTAGATGCACAACGAACACCTTTCAGGACATTCGACAAGTGTTTTTGCTTCGAAAAATTAGTTCATTGTCACTTTCAGGCAAAAAAAGATCCCCTCTGTGGAGGTACTTCAGGATACTGGATGATTTGACGAGCAAAGCGAAATGTAAACTTTGCGGCCACGAGCTGAGCTACAGAACCACTACATCAAATTTGAAGAAACATTTGAACAGGAGGCATCCTAACAGCAAAACCACTGGAAAGCCGGTGGTGGAATTGAAGAAGTCTATACTTGTTAAATGGGAATAAACGTAGAATAGTAGCCTAATCGATTTTCAGGATGTTCTGTAAATAGGGGGATTTTTGAACATACATATACAGGGGTGTTAATAAAGTACCTGGCTAAAGTCCAAGGGGTGATTTATTATTCAAATTCAAGAAAAGACGTTGATATAAAGGTGGGTTCGAAAATGCTTCTCTTTTATGGTACAGGTTGCCAATCTTCATTTGACAAAACTCCATTTTTTCGTAAAAACAGCCGATTTTGATAAATACTGCTAATGGGTTGTTAAGTATTTAGCGATAGATCCGTTTTCCTGATATATTTCATAAATCTTTAACAACATTGTTCGATTGACAAGGTTGTTACGATTTTTCTGACAAACGAATAACAAAACGGAAAACTCTGACTCTCTGTATCTTGAAATCAAAGCAATTCCCCCATTGAATTTTTTTCCATGGACATTATTAACACCCTGCGCCATGTGTTACTTGCCACTTTTTCTACCCAATAAAAAAAACTACTTTTTATCGATTTTCATGTATAATGTTACCATTTTCCATGAAATCCCTTTTGTCCAAGTTGAGACTTTCATTTACAAGGCGTACATATACCAAAGTCTCAAGATTTTCATGATTTTAAGCTCCTCAAAATAAATCAAAACTAAACAAAACCTATCGCCCCAGATCAAACGTTGCCCGCGTTGGTAAACAAAACCTTTGGTCATCGGTTCTAAAAAACAAAACAAAAATGGCACATTCATACTGCAATACATTATTTTAATTTACGGTGTCTTCGAAATGCTACCGAGGCTTCGCGAGTACATGCAGATCGTTTTTCAAGATCCTTCATGTTTTTATTGTTTGGGGCGAAATGAAATGCTTATTGCACTGAGGTGAGCTTTTGCAGAACTACGTGTGCGAATTTAGCATTCATTCGTGAAAGGCAGTTCAGTCTTAAAGCTTACACGTTGAGCACATACATGTATATTTGAATCCATCGCAAACAATATTGAACAATACCTACAATGACGTAAAACAGTAAAGTTTCAGGATATTTCCCTATATATGCTGTGATGACCTTGAATTTGACTTTGAGCATGGAACTGGAAGTCGAATCAAGGGCAATACAATTTTTTTTGAAATCGAATCTTTTAAGATTTAAAGTTCACATATGACCTTGGTTGAACATCACTTTGACCTTATCAGATTCATGTCTTAAAGTTATTTATTTCCGTTATATCCATTTCCGGTATCTGCAAAAAGAGGTCTACACCTTGAATTGTTCCTCAAGGTCATGGACAAGGTCAATTTCAAGGGCACTAGTAAAAAGCCAGCGAAATTAGAACTAATGCTGTATTCCAGACCCTATTTTTGCTTTGTCTTTAGAGACATCCTTGCATTTTTGTCAAACAATGTTTATTTACGATGACCTTGACAAGCACCCTCAATATTATAATGATTTTCACTCAAGGTCATCGTTAAACGTCAAATTTTACGTTCGATATATTTCCAAGGTGAAAAGTATTGTGACTTGTACAGAAGCAAATTGGTAATTACATATTTCCTATCAAATTAACACATTTATGTTTTGATGATAATGGTGCACTACGTCATTTTTCACGCTTCCCAAGACATCGAACATCAGCTTCATCGCCTGATTATCTATTTTAGGGCCTGGCAAGAAAAGGCATTCTCCATTATGGGAGCATTTCATCATGATAGATGAAGCGAGAGCCAAATGCAGACTATGCAGA